GGTGTGGGCACCGCGCGCTGCTGGGGGGGAGAGGGAGAGTGTGTGTGGGGGAGGAGGAGGGCCTGGTGCCCTGTGAGGTAAATTAGCACTTCAAAAGGTGAAGAGGCGTGAGGTGAATAAAGGTGAAGAGCGCGGTGTCGAGAGGGGAGTTAGCGTGTTCCCTGGAGCTGTTCCGAAGGGGTGAATTTTCTTCCCGTGGGATCAGTGGTCGCTGCCTCTGGGCAAACACCGCCTCTCTCACCCCCCTAGGTAGGGAGTCTTGTGTTTCCTCAACAAAACCTGGTGAAAACGGAAAGGTTTTACTCTGTCATGCGCGTGGTTTTACATTTCGGGAGGCTGCTTTGCAGAGAGATGTGTTAGAAGGAAGGATGGACGAGAAAGAAGAGTAGGATCAACTGGAGATGGAAAGACAAAAGTGATCTTAAAAGCATGAATGGTTTTATTCTTCCTAGTGCTATTGTGAGAAATAAATTTTTCAGCAACAAGTGAATTTTTATAAAAAGTCATAAGTCAAACCTCAAATATTTTCTTTTAAAAATTAAGCATTCCTTTCCTTTCATGTTGGTGACTTTTATTGGCAGACTTCAAAGTTGCCACCAACCATATGCTTACAATAGAAACAGCTGCACCCTGGGTTGTCAGGTAGAAAATGTATAAATAACAGGCTTGAAGAACTAACAAAGTTCTTGCTAGAGAAAAAAAAATCCTTGAACGGAATTAAGGTTTTGTATTACCCCCACCGTTCTTTTCTTCATTGTAGGAAAACTGGTTATGTGTTGTTAAAGGACTACTATAATGCAAATAAATTTAGTTTAGTAATAATAAATGAGGAATGGAATAAATAATCTTCTGTAGTAGCAACAAAGCTATGTATATATACAAGTAAAACATGAACTTGCTGGTTGCTAGCTATAGGATTTTAGTGAGTAACAAAGGCGTGATTAACCTACGCTTGTCCTGATCATAGTGGTTTGACATAGGTAGCAGGCACAAAGACTCTTCCTTTTGTAACTGATAGTCGTTTATTTTGCATTGTAAACATAATGTTTGCGTTATTGGTGGTGTAGAGTGTGTAAGGAGCATAAGGGAACATCAGGAAGGAACAACTAGACATATTTCTGGAGACAAATACACGAGAAAGATAGTTAAAAGATTCTGCTAAAGATAAAACTGCTTAATTGTTGTATGTCTTACCACCATATCTGTTAATCAATAGTAGTGTGGGTGGGAAGAATTAGAATGTGTTTACTGGGGGAAGAACTAGATACTGAATTACAAATTATTATTTTTTTTTCCAGCCGTGCTTGCAGCTCTGTTAGTCTGTATCACAGCAGATGGATTCAGCGTCTGATCTGTGGCTTAAACGAAATCAGATTTGGTAAGCTTTTTCAAAAGTACCTACCATTAATATTGCTTCCTAAATAAATTTGGAACAATTTTGCTAGACCATATTTGTAAAAGATCTGCATTCCACATCCTGAGGCAACAATGCTTTGAAAGATGGCAACTGCCCAGGCACCCCTAAGGCTGAATATGTTCTTTGCCAGAATTCTGGATAATAATAAGAATATTGGTGTTGTTACTGAGTTACCTTTGTTTCAAAATTATCCTTGTGCAAGGGTTTCAGTTTCAATTCAGGTTCGAGATTTCAGGTTTTTCTGTATGTTCTGCCAAGGAGAATGTAAGGTTCTGTAAGTCTGGAAGGTTCATAGAAGTTGCAAGTGGTTCCCTAGAGTTCTCATCTAGAAGAAGCCTATTATAAAAGAAAGGGTTGTAGGAGTGGAAGGAGGACTCTCCTTTCCACTCATTATTTTTGGTCTATGCAGTTATGACAACATAGATTATATAGAAAATGCAAATTTGTTTCCTAGAAACTTTTTACCTTATTCAGATGGGTTCTAGGACAGATTAAAGAAACATATTAGTGAAGATAGTTCATAGGTAACACGAGAACCGTTTCTAGGTTGCTCCCCTAAGCAAAGAGTTTCACTGGAGGTACTCCAGCTGTATTTCAGCTAGGCTGAACCATCCTCTGCATGCACAGACTGTTCTGCACGTTAGAGGTATCATCATCTCTTTGAATGCTGCATTCCTTATTACTGTCTTACACTGTTAGTCTCGGGATGAACAAATAGATTACTAATATTGTGAAGGAAAGGCATCACATCAGCTAGTAGGGCAGGCGGGGTACTGGGGTATGTATTGTCTTTTTCTATTTTTCCTTTTTTTTTTTTTTTTTTTCTTTTCCTAAGGGGATCTGTCACTGTATTTCAAAAGCTTACCAACACTTGCAGTTAGAAAGAAGTTTGCAAAAGGTGCCAGACAGCGTTCACGCAGGGGAGGCCAGGACTGCCATGGTCCTTGCAATAAAACAGCACGGCTTGTGTAGGTACTTTGTACAGCTGGTGAATTTAATTGTGCTCGCCAGTCCGGTCAGTTAGCCACAGTTCGTTTATCTGGTGCTGCTATGCCATGGCATAGAAGGATGGCAGTAAATTCTGAGCCTACAAGAAATTACCAACTGATACAAAGAGGCTGCTCAGCCCTTGAGCTGATGGGACATTAAGATCGAATAGCTCAGCCCAGCAGGCTTTTGTTATGGTAAGTTCAGGGTGTAAAATGGAAGATTTCCTCTTGCAGAATTTCGGTGAGGTTAATGCCTACTGAAATCCACCTTACTTTTCAGCAGGTGTTGCTTATTCCAGCCAGTTGCTATTAAAATGCTAACTATCATCTTTTACATCTGCTGGAGTCCCCACAATTCCTTGTGCTAAGTTTAGGAAACCGATTTGTATGTATGGTTTATTAACACTCTGAATTGTTTCATTGCAACAACAGAGAAGATTATTTGTTTGACCCAAGCAGTTTAAACTACTGGGAGTCTTAAAATAGAATGTAAGACGCTCTTTTGCACTATTATTTGCATATTGAAAGGTGCTATATTTGCTTTTAAAAACAGGTAAATAAGGACATTTATACAACACTCTAATGACCAACAGAAATGTGATACCGTAAGTAACCCTTAGATTAAAATATACTAACAGTAGATGTGTAGATACAGGGTGAAACTTGTAAGTTCAACAAAAAAGCCCTCAATATTTATTTATTTATTTGTTCCCATCTCGGATTCCTTTGATCACTGTTTAGTTTCTGTTTATCTTAAACATGGCCTGTAATCTCTTTAGGATATAATTTGTCTTTCTGTGTCTGGTTTGCATAGTGTTCAGCATAGCTGGGGCCTTGTTTCTATCCTGGAACCTTTAGAAGCTGCTGTCACAGTTTGACTCAGGTCCGACAACAATGCTCTCGATCCCCTCTCCCCCCCCACCCA